AATATCAGAACAAGATCAGAAGAAAAAAGAATGAATTTGCTGTGAAGAAAAATGAACGTAAAATCAGTCATAGAAATGTCATTGGAACGTGTTTTCACAGAGGAAAATATTCGCATTTACTCACTTGTGCTTTTGAGAAAAATGTGTACATCCATCCACCACATCATCACTGTGAAGGCTGTGCCTTTTCAGAGGCAATTAACCATCTATTCCAGACTCATCTGCTCACTTCAATTTCCTCATTTCTCCACCCACCTGAATCCAACATACTTTGACATTTTCTCTTATTAGAATGCAAACTCATGCATTTAGAAAAGCCAAACAGTGAAAGGCCCCAAACCAGTCTGAAAACTGTTTGTTAAACAACGGACTGTGGAAGTTTATTCAAAGCACAATTTTTTATTTCTGTAATTTTAAACAAAAAAACAGCTGTCACGAGATACTAATTCAAATTTTCAAATATTCATCACCATTTTCCTGTTCTATCTGAAAAGAAATTGTTTTAGCACTCAGAACGGTGGCAAGATATTGAACAGCGTTACGGCTTTTAGCCTAGCGCTTTGCCAGAGAGAAATTGTCTCTTACAACACACTATTATTCTATTTTAAGAATCCTAAGCAACGTGGCTTTCATCACTTGAGTTGGAAGGTTATTTAACACGCTACTGGATCTTATGACTAAGAAGTATTTCCTGACATTATGGCTACATCTTTCCATTTCCAAAACTCATAGCAGTTATCATACTTCAACTCATTCTAAGTAATCCTTCTTTCATCCAGTGCTCCACAAGTGAAAATGTTCCATGGTGCTTAATGAGGTGTTTCCCATGTGATGCCTGCAGCACCTGACAGTCTATTCTGCTGTATATAAAAGTAATTATGTGGGAGGCCACTGATGAGTGGTGCTCCTCAGGGGTCTGTATTGGCACCAGAATTATTTAACAGCTTCATCGGTGATACGGACAGTGAAATTGAGTGCACCTGCAGTAGTTTGCAGGTGACACCAAGCTGAGTGGTACAGTTGACATGCTGGAGGGAAGGCATGCCATACAGAAGGATCTGGACAGATGTGAGAGGTGGGCCTTTGTGAAACTCACGTAGTTCAACAAGGCCAAGGGCAAGGTGCTACAGCTGACTTGGAGCAATCCAAAGTGTCAATAAAGGCTGAGTGAGGAGTGGATTGAGATCAGCCCTGCGGAGGACTTGGCGGTATTGAGGGTATTAGAAGAAAAACTGAAGGTGAGTTGCAATGTATGCCCTCAACACAGACAGTCAACAGTCCTTTGGGCTGCATCAGAAGAGAGGTGGCCAGCAGGGCCAGGAAGGGAATTGACCCTCTGATGAGGCCCCATTGGGAGTACTGTGTCCAGCCTGGAGCCTCCGGCACAAAAAAAGTTGCACATCTTTTGGAAAGGGTCCAGAGGAGGGCCATGAAGATGCTCTGAGGGCTGAAGCACCTCTCTTGTGAAGACAGGCTGAGGGAGATGGGCTGCATGGACTCTGTCTGCCTTGCGTGTGCAGCATGTAAGCACTTGAAAGTGGATTTTAAATGGCCAAATGGAGCAGTGACCCTGGACTGCAGGTCAGCTTCCTGACCCAGAAGCTGGTGGCAGGCTGGATGGGCTGGATGCCAGAAATGTCCCTGCAGTTCACACTCCATGGCACAGGATCTCCTATGAACAGAGCCCCATTACAGCTGGTGGCAATGCCGCTGAAGTCAGTGCGTTATCAGTGAGCATCAGCTCTGCTTAAACCCATGCCCCAGGGGTAAGAATACAAGAAAGAACAGAAAGCAAGCAGGCAAGCGCTGCTTAGCCCACCAGTCCCTGCCACGGGAAAAGAGCACAGTCCTGCCACTGCAAATCTGTTTAACTGTGTCAGTAAGAACATGCAAGCTATTGCCAGGAAGAGGCAGCTGAAGAGCAAAGCACAGGCTCTGCTGTATCTATTCTTTCTACTCTTAGAGTGGTCAGGGTAAGAAGAGAAATCTGGTTAGGAAGAAAGCTGCTGCACTATAGTGCCATTAACAAATTTCCCCACAGCACAGATATCACATATTACTCTAAACAAATGCAGTTTTACTCTCTTGATGGCATTTCATCAGTATTAGTATGCCAAAATGAGATGCTGCTTCAGATTTCTGAAAAGAAATGTAACTGTGACGAGTTTGGGAAGAGCTAACACCATGAGACATCAGGCAGAGGAGAGAAAAGTAAGCACAGGACCTCTTCAAGAACCACCATTCCCATGAAACACTCTGTCCCCAGAACAAACCTATGTTTTCCTCCCACGCAGTAAAAGCCATCTGCTTTTCAGAAACCTACAGTAGATAGTGATTATTTTTATGGCATATATAAGACCTTTAGGTGAACCTGAGGTGAACCCCATCATTTCCAAGTGGCAGGCCCTCCATTTATAACATATGAAGGTCTGTAAGATATTTTCAATTATTTCTGTCTCACTGACACACAGAGATGCTGCTATAATAGGAAATTGTGTTATCACAGATCTTTGAAGATTTCTGAAGTTGGATCATTTTGCATTTTCTACCCTACTGAGCTAGGAAATTAACAGTAAAACTTTACCCTGCCCTCCACCAAGCCTGATTTAGCCAAAGACATGATCTCAGGTAGTAACTACCAATTCAGCTGTTTATTTAATTGAAATGAAACCATTCTTCCAGCAGACAGACAAGGGAAGAAACAATATGTTATGCCAGATTCCTGAGTCAACGCTTCTCCCTACGTTCACTCTTTAGCTACTTTCTTGGTGTGCTGAAGTGCATGCTGATCTGTGTAAATACACTGCAGTAGAATGGAAGGCAGTGATTTGGTGCTCCTTGGGTGTTGGGTGCCTAATTTAACTCTTGCTGGCTCATAAACTTCCTGAGGAAAGGAAGGAAAAAAGATGATACAGTTTCACATTGATAACTAATTCAGCAGTAAGGAAACATCTTTTTCCATCACGTGAAAGAAAGCTGTTCTAACAGCAGTGATCAGTGGGAGTTGTGTTGCCTTTAATACAAAGAAAATGGTTTGATGGATTCTTGTTTATACAAGACTCACCCAAGGGCAAATGTTCTGAATACAGCATCCCCTTGGAAAAAAACTTTTTTCTCTCTCTCAGCCCCGACCAAGAGGAAGCACTATCCATTTGGAGTTAAAGACAAATTATCCACTTGGAATTAAAGACAAAATCGCTGCGAAATCTGTGCCAGGCAGGAGTGGGCATCACAAACCGCATTAGAGAGATGACCCTATGGAGGTGCTCATGCTCTTACTCTCCCGTGGAATGGAGAGAAATTGGACAACTGTTCAGATCAGCTACACAACTTGTGTGCAAAAGTAGAAATGACAGGTCCCAGTTTTCATCAGGTGACAAGCTGAGCTTGTTTCTGCATGAATTTGTACAAGCAGAACATTTCCTCTGGGTAATTTTCATATCTTTCCAGAAATGTTCTTGCACAAGTTGGTCACAAACTCCTAGTCTTAATGAAGAAGATGGTTATCATCCTCAACTAAGAGGACTGGAATAAAACGTACGCTTCAAATGCTTCCACAGCCTCTCCAGATCCAGATTTTAAGGGTTTCATGTACAAAAACAGAATATGCACCAGAACATACAAATGAAATCAGCTTATTTTAAGATGAATAAGGAAAGGAGTCAAATGTAGCTTTCTGGGTCTCAGCTTCTTTCACAGTTTTTGAACTGAAATCAAATGACTGACTCCACAGATGAGAGCATTTTCCTTTTACAGAATTCTCAAATGAATGAACCTGAATACATCAACTGTGTTCAAGGATAGTGTTATGACTACATCTGGGGTTTTTTTTTAAATTCACACCAAAAATCGGTAGACATCAACATTTCTTCCACAGATACCACTTAGATCTATCAGAAATTAGGTAATTCTATCCTTAACAATGCCTTGGAGTAATTAAAGACACACAGTGTACCATCAGCTAAAAAGAAATGCTTTCCGAGGGCCTAAACGTAGGGTGAAAATGCAAAGCAAAAGAGATTGACTACTGTCTAAGTACAGCTCATCAGGAAATAAATTGAAATGAGCAATCAGTCCAACAGTTAAAAAGGATATAATTGTATGTTTGGGAACACTGAAAAAGTCAGAGCTCCCTGGACACATCAATATAAGAGAGAAAAGAGAAAATCCTTGGGGTGTTCTCATTTTACTTATTGTCATTCATTTCAAATTAATACAAACACGGAAAGATTGGAAAGATTTTGGAGCCTGCAGCATCTTGTCTCCTGTGGCACGTCATGTCACCTGCTCCCCTGTCTGCACTCCTCCCAGGCTGATAACACTTGCTTTGATATTGACACAGTTCAGGCTCAATCTGGTCTTCAAAGACAGAAAAGGGGCATGCGAATCCCTCAGTCTCCCTTTCTGTTCCAAGCCCAAGGCACGCAAACACTTCCCAAGGACTGCACACTCCATCGGGCATTACTTTCTGCTTAACAAAATTAATGATTGTTACAGAAAATAGGATTTGAAAAGACATTTCAGCCATAGGATCTTTCCAAGTCTGGAAACGAGACAATAGCCACGATAACACTGCTGATCCCATTTTATACCTCCAGCGTTATACCACCAATTTTGTAAACCAAGTTTATTACTCTGCATGTTAAGGAACAGAAAGAAGTGGATGAGGACGACTGTTGTTCATTTTAGATGCTCGGTATTCAAAGCTGTTCATGGCTGCAATGTGCTTAGCAAATACAGTTTGCTGTGATTATTTACTTGTTTTAGTTGTACGAAGGGATAAAAACACACACACACAAACCAAATAGAAATACGCTTCAGGCTCACCCTTAAAGCAATTTTCTCTCATACAGGGAAACCAACTCCTATGTTAATGTAAACTCAGTGGCACAGAAATGATTAGTGAGTACTGCAGAGATTAAATAAGCCCTTGTATGCAAACTCCAGTCTGGACAATCCTTTTTATACGCCCCAAAAAGAAGGCCGATTTATAGACTTACGGTTGGCTGTCCTGCTTTGATCACTCTGATTGCTGTCATTTGACTGGTTGCTGGAGACAGAGGATACACTTGAGCTCCTGACAAAACCAAATGCTGCCAGCTTGGCTGCTGGCAACCGCGAGTAACCTGGAGGGCGAAGTGCAGACGGACACGGCTTGGGGAGATTTGACTTTGCAGCATTTGGACACGGGACTTTCTTCAGATCAACTGAAAGAAGGAGAAAGAACTTTTATCAAACAAGTTCATCTGGGACACACTAAATATTGGCAAATGAAACTTAGTATGAAGGCTGAATAGAAGTTTTAAGAGCTGCTCAAAACCTGCACTGTTGTCTTACTCTTTGCTCTACTAAAAAGTAATTCTCTGAAACAATCACAGGTTGCAATAATCTTTAAAATGCGAAGTGCAGCAAGACCACGTGAAAGTCGAAATTCCAGCAGAATAATGTAGCTCAAGTCCACTACTTTCTTAAAAATATCTTCTTTTATGCTGTATCATTTTCTACTTCTACATTTCTTATGGGTCAATTAAAAGAAAGTCACACTCAGACAAACACTCTATGCTTTGCCTCAGTTTTGGAAGCTATTACAGAATGCCAATGAATCTCCTCAAGGACACGGGACTTCTTTGCATTTCATCAAAGAAAATACTTCTTTGAAGTCTTTCTTTCAAATTTTGCTAAAAGAAAACGTCCTCCTCTTGCACCAAGCCCAGAAACAAGGACATGCCCTGGGAAGTTTACTTTTTTAACACACCACTAGCCATTTCCTCTGATAGTGTCCGGTTCACTGGAAAATGTCAGCTATGGGAATGACATAACCCAAATCTTAGACAACTGCCAATAGAGGATTTACAGAGGATGGAGTTAGTCCACAACAACAGTTTGGTTACCATGTCTGCTCTGGTAATGACAGCAGGGTACCTCTTTCTGTTTTGTGTCCTCTTAAACCAAATCCTGCTATTCTTGCTTAGACAAACTTTTCTAGGCAACTCCAGAAGATGGGTCCAAAAGGTCCCATGCTGTCCTCATGAAAGGACTAAAGGTTGAGTTTGGCTGCTTGAGTGTGTTAGAAGGGGAGGCAGCATTACAGCTGTCAACATACTTGGCCAGAAAAGTCCACAAAGTCAACTTTCTGTTCCCATTCGGTGAACACTATTCATGTATCATCCTGATGTATACTTCAAAGGATGCAGCAAACATTAATTATATAAAGGAAAAGTAGGAATTAACCACACAGTAAGAATATAGTCTTCACATTATTACACTATTTAATTCTTTTGTAAACTATGTAGGTCAAAGCCTTATTAATTTTAATGAAGCATTACACTTTGATGAGAGTTTACAGAAAACAAGACTAACTCCTTTGAGTAGAAAAATGTTATGGGGATTTTGAAAGATAGTTATGTACCTCATGACAGTTACATTATTATTAACAGCATCACTATTTTTTTTTCAACAGAACTAACCCTTTTCTTTTGAAATTACAATGGATGTAACATCAAGGAAAAAAAAAGAAGAGTTCGGTTTTCCTATAAAACATAGTCCTATAAAAGACATTAGAAAATGCTTCTTGATCAACAAATGAAATAATTTCTATACATAGGCTGCTCTCAAAGTAACGCATTCTGTTTAATTCATTTTAATTTTTATTTTAATTTTAATTTTAGTTTAGTTTTTAATTTTAGTTTATTTTAGTTTAATTTTAATTAATTAAAAACACTACAACATAGTCACCACCATTAGCTACACATCAGCCACACAAAGGCTGTGGATGCAGTCTATCCAGCTTTTAATAAAGTCTATGACTGTCTCCTACAGCATCCTCCTGGAGAAGCTGGCAGCCCGTGGTTTCGATGGGTGTACGCTTCCTGGTTGGATGGCTGGGCCCACAGAGTGCTGGTGATGGGCTGACAGTTGGACTAGATGATCTCAGTGGTCTTTCCCAACCTTGATGATTCTATGATTCGATTTTATTTGAGAGTCTTCATACAATGTGGGACTGAGATCAGTTCATGCCAGTGCTGCACTGGTGGTAATCCCCTGATGGGAAGCAAACAAGAGGATCCATGGCAAACCTTGCATCTCTGCCTATGGAAGAGAGTGCTGGACCTTAACTGTGGAGACAACTGCACCGAGTCCCCAGGCTGTCCCCTGTCTGCACTGCTGTGTGACTCACATGCCTACAGCCAGTGCTGTGCTGAGCACTGCAGGACAGGTGTGGAAGCACAGCCACCATCACTGAAAAAGAAATTGCTTAAAATTAGTCTGAGAGCTGGGGCTATTCATCTGGAGAGGAGAAGGCTGTGGGGAGACCTCAAAGTGGCCTTTCAGTATCTAAAGGGGGGCTGTAAGAAAGAAATGGAAGACTCTTCAACAGCGTCTGTTGTGACAGGACAAAGGGAAACGTTTTCAAAATAAAAGAGGAGAACCTTAGATTGAATGTAAGGAAAAAGTTATTTACAGTAAGAGTGGTGAGGCACTGGCACAGGTTGCCCAGAGAGGTGGATGCCCCGTCCCTGGAGACACTCAAGGTCAGGCTGGACAGGGCTCTGAGCACCTGATGGAGCTGTAGGTGTCCCTATTCATCACAGGGAGTTGGACTAGGTGGCCTCTAAAGGTGCCTTTCAACTCAAACAATTCTACTATTCTAGGCATATAGTGGCAATCTCAGCACCCTGCAGTACCAGAAAATGCCCACCCATCTCCATTTCTTCTTTGAATCCAATCTCTTAGATCTGTACAGATGATCTGGTGGTGTTACTCACACCTCTGTGCTTATGGACTTCTCAGCTTGTGACTTCAATTGAAATTTCCCCTGAACTAACCATATTTTGTGTCTTGAACTCATAATCAACTTTAAGTTATTTTTCACTTCTCTTCTTTGTAATACATCTCCTCTGTACAACAAGGACCTGGGGGCAGAACATTATCCTTATCAGAGATGCACTGAAATCCTTAAAGCTAAGTCCTTTTACTCACTAAAACACACAAGGCATCAGCCTTGTGCACTCATTTTCTTTCTAAATACCATCAAGTTTTAAGGTGTCTCTTTCTGTCTCTTAGAAGTCTAAAAGCACACCTGCAAATATGGTCTGAAAGTTCAGAACAAAAATTATATTAATGAGAAGTTTTCATTTTAATAAAAATCTGCCAAAATAAGCTTAAAAAAAATGGCAAAAATCTTTCCAGCTGCCTCACTGCCTGAAGCTAATTATGGAATTAAGTGCTGCTGTCTGTGTGGCACACACGTGATTTTCTGTGACACCTCAAACTGTTCCCATCGAGGAACATGAAAGCACTTTGAGGTAGAAACTGATCGGCACAAAGCAGATGCATCTGTGAGCCTTAAGAAGAGGCTGAGCGAGACTTCTGCATCTGCACTGCACACAGATCACATCTCCACGCACATGTATGGCTAATAGCAACTTCAATGTGACTCCTCTGTGAAAGCTGAAATAGCTTTTAGCTAAAACAAATGAAAAGTTATAGGAATGGATTATGGAGACGTGTTCATATAAGGAAAAGTAGTAGTTCAAGAGTTCAGCTCCACTTGTGATCCAGGATCTACGCTAAGCCTTTGCTTTCTTGGTGGAGTTTGTTGCTGTTGTTTTTTCTTTCTCTCTTTTTTTTTTTTTTGATAAACATTTCCCTAAGAACTTCAGTCATTAGACGCAATTTGCTCTCAGGAAGCATATCTGCTTTTAGATGGTGCTCTGATTGTTATCCTCAGTTCTGATCAGAGAATGCAGGGCAAGGAAGCCACCTGCAGTTTTACTTAACTCATCGGAGATAACACAAGCGGTTTTTCAAGGCACCTCAGAGTTAACTTAATCTTTGATATCATCAGAGATTAAAACCAAATCTTCCAAATCAGAAGCGGATTCTGTTCCCAGCATCCTTGTGGTTTCCTGGTTATTGGCAAAGGATTCTGCTATGAAAAAGAATGGAGGAAAGAGGCCTCAACACAGGGGTTCATTATCTACACCTTAAAACAGAGGTTTTACACCAGTGTGGAGAAGGTGCATGGCTCTCCTGATGTTCCCTTATCTAAATGTCACCAAGCCTGGGACAATCCAAAGGCAAAAGAGTTGTCACTGCTGATCATCGGTGAAATCCTGATCAGCCAGGCCACTGTTACATGGCAAGAAATGCTCAGCATCTCCAGCTTCAGATTCAAACACCCCTAAAAGCTACTCTGCGCCTACTGCGGGGTGTGAAGAGGTGGCTCACGGCACATGAAGATGCCCTTAGCAAGATGCTGATGAAGAGCTGTGTGTTTCCCTTTGAGCACGTAATTCTTCATTATATTGTACAATTGGACTGCACACCCAATGAAGCAGAGTGCCAGCTGAAACTGCTGTGGATTAGCAGAAGCAGGAGAATATTTTCATTTCTGAATTCTCCCCTTGTCACCTCTCTTCTTCACAAACTAAGTTTGCCAGCTCCAACTGAAGTATCTATTTTATAAGTACTGCAAACCTATAAAATAAGCATTCAGCTGGAGCAGCAGCAGTGGAATAATTCAGGAAGTAACCTGAAAACTCCTTTCCTATCACCAAACCTCACGTCCTTGTTCAGGTATTCCTGAGATTTGACACAAAACCAAAACTGAAATCCTCTCAAGAAAAAGCTGAAGACACATCAGCTCATTACCAGTGAAATCCATGATACATATTTGCAAATACAAACAAACACACATATTTGTGTGTGCCTGAGTAAATCAAAAACATTGCTGTCCTGATGCATACATAAAATGAATCTTTAACAAGAGTTGACTTATTTAGAAATGAAAGGAACTGCTAGACCCTCAGGACTGGCAAATTTAATACACAGAGAGGTAATAAGGAAACAAGATTTCATTAACTTGCTCTTTGAAAAAAAATTACCATAAGTACTACTGAAAAAAACATAGTAAAGTTTAATGATGAGATCTCTGTTGTACTTTTCAAAATTAGACATTAATGCCATTAAAAGAATCAGCTAATGAATGTAAATCCTGACAGGTTTGCTCCAAGTCTTCATAACCAAGGAAAAGGTATGCATAATTTATAAGTTATAGACACAGTACCCTTCAATGCTTGCTTTGAATGACAATTTTCCCATAGAAAGAGCAGAGTCAACATAAAATAAACGTTCAGCTTTCAGACACCTAATACACCTTTAAATATGCCCCAGTTCCTATCTTCCCTACAGTATAGAATGCTTTTTCTTACAAGTCAGACTGCTTGCTGGACCCATCCAACATACAGAGCAGCACTGATCAGTAATGAATGCACAGCCCCTGGCAGTGTGCACTGCCCAATGTCCTACAGATGAGGAACAACCACTGCCCCACTCACATTTTAGGCATTACACTTGGAGAACTGTAGGATCATTTACTATCATTTTACTTCTTACCTGGCATGTCTTAAAAGTAGCAAAACTTGCAGTCTACCACAGCTGCTCAGGCATTGAATTTATCAATTAGTCAGCTTTATGAATGTTAGCATTACGCACGGGCCAAACCACTCAGCTTATCAGTGCTGCTTAAGCAGACTGCTACATTATGGAACGCATGGCAGAGGGGATTAAATCCTCATTACGAGGCACAGGCTCTGTTCTCAATACTGTGCTATGGCAATTTTCGTTTAAAGAGCCCCAGTGGTACCTTGCACTTTGTCACTAGATGGCAAACGCCTAGATCCCTGTTTCCATTACCTCAAGGTAGGCCTGAAATCACTGGGATTAAAAACTGGATTAAAAGCTCAGGATTGAAATGCAAGAGATGCTGATTAGCATTCCTGAAGATAGGGCTGGCATCCTTGAGAGAAAAATACATGCTGGCCTCCAGCTGCTTTCAGCTGTCCACTCAGCCTTCACACTCCACAGTATCTATACAACCAAGGCTCTTACCAGCACCACTACCAACACACTGACAGTATATGCTCATGCATTTCTTTTCCTTATATTTGTAAATATGACTATACCTAATCTACATTTAATTCTTTCTGAAATACAGCATCAAAAACAATATATCAGATTAAAGTTTAATACCACAACGAACTGCCAAATTGGAGGAATTAGAAGAAAGTGGTTGATAAAAAGCTGAAAATGGTGTTGAATACATTAACATCACTCGTTTGACATGACCCATATGGCCTGTGTATGTATGAGCATGCTTTGCTGATGCTACAGATTAATGCTGTTAACACCAGCCCTGCTCTGAGCCCCTCTGCACAGCCCCTTGCTGGCTTTGGAGCTGCCCTCCCACCCAGCCCCTCTCTTCTTGTCCTACTTCAGTTCCATCTGCTGTCACTTGAGCCTCTTTCACGGGCAATTTGTTCTTATTAAAAGGAATTATTAAAGACAAAAAGAGTGATATGCTGGTTTAAAAAGTTAGATGCTGATGAAAGATTCAGTCATTTGAGATGTACATGTCAAAAGGATTTGAACAAAGGCAAGGTGATTAGAAGCTAATCTCCAGTTTGTGAGTGGGAAATGACATGCCAAAACTAAAATAATGTAACATAACTGATAAAAAGAATCAGAAATACAAAAAGGATCAATATGGGAGGCAATGAATCATCAGAAAGCAGTGCAAAGTGCTTTGCAACAGAACAAGATGTTGCAGAAAAAATCAGACATGCTTTTCTTCTCACAAGGAAAACAGAAAGTGAGATGCCAGAAAAGAAAAAATACATGTCCTGGGGTGGACAGTGAAAAACTGGAGACATTAGCAGCCTCTCCAGAACAAGTCTTGGGTAATTTAAAATCAATAAAATCAGTCAAGAGTCCACAGACCAGATGAAGCAAACTTTGGGATCCTGAAGGACATGGCAGACAAATTACTGGACTACTACAAGTTATCTTTAATAGCTTTTTTGAAACAGTGAGGTATCAATAGGCTGCAGAAAAACAAACAAAATAACAGCTGTAGGAAGGAAACTGCAGAGAGCTATGGACTACATTTGACCTCCAGAGCAGGCAAGGTCCAAGAAATAGGTTCAACATGGCAAAGTGCAAGGTTTTGCACTTGGGTCAGAGGAATCCCAGGCATCCATACAGACTGGAGGGAGCAGCAGTCCTTGAGAGCAGCCCTGCAGAGAAGGACCTGGGGGTCTTGACAGATGAAAGGCTTAACATGAGCCAGCAGTGTGCTCTTGCAGCTCAGAAAGCAAATGGTATCCTGGGCTCCATCAGAAGACGGGCGGCCAGCAGGGACAGGGAGGTGATTTCTCTGCTCCTTTTCTCTGCTCTCTCCTTTTCTCTGCTCTTGTGAGGCCCCATCTGGAATACTGTGTCCAGGCCTGTTGGAGCTGTTAGAGAGGATCCAGAGGAGAGCCACCAAGATGATCAGGGGACTGGAGCACCTCCCCTACGAAGAGAGGCAGAAGGAGCTGGGCTTGTTCAGCCTGGAGAAAAGAAGGCTGCGGGGTGACCTCATTGTAGCCCTTCAGTACTTAAAAGAAGCCTACAAACAGGAGGGGAATCAACTCTTTGAAAGGGTTGACAACTGCAGGACAAGGGGAAATGGTTTTAAGTTGAGGGAGGGAAGATTTAGGTTGTATGTCAGGGGGAATTCTTTACAGAAAGATGGTGAGGTGCTGGAACAGGCTGCCCAGAGAGGCTGTGGATTCCCCGTCCCTGGAGGTGTTCAAGGCCAGGTTGGATGGGGCCCTGGGCAGCCTGGTCTGGTATTAAATGGGGAGGTTGGTGGCTCTGCATGTGATTTTTTAATTCTGTGAAATAATCACTGATAAGATTCCAAAATACCCCAGCTGTTGAGAAGTAGGAAAACTTCAGGAAATGGGAACTGCAATAGAATAGGAATGGCACTTTTAGCTACTGCAATTTCCTATGTGCTTCTCATTCACTGGAATTTTTAAAGATGGGATTACAGATGATAAACAGGACAGATAGGCTTACAGAACTTAGATTTCTGAATGTGAGTATAGGAGGACAGTAAATGAATACACATATACAGTGCTCTATAGATTAAAAATCGCTAGAGAAAGTTATGCCTGCAATAATCAATGATAATTACACTGGATGAATAAAAATCAAGGCAATATTCATTTCTGAAGAGCAGAAAACTGACTGTATTCATTACAAGGACCTACTAGTGAATGAGAAATGAGAGTATATTCCTCTCATTTCTACCAAACTTCCTTGTGTTATGCAAGAGCTTATCTGAGTTGTATTCTAAACTAGCAGTCTGTTGCATTTCCAATTAAATGGAAACTGTCATCCAGTTGTTCTCTGCATCTGTATTCCTACATTCCATGCTGACTGCACTCAACTTAGAGGGCTAGACTGATATCCACTACTTAATGCATAATCTGTAGCATCTCAGAAGTCACACTGCAGAGCTTGATCAGCTTCTGCTAATAGCATCAATCGGATAAACTCCACATACGAAGACAGATAGTAAAGAACAGTGGCAAGGCCTTGTGTTACAGAGAACCTTGATTTGCTGATAAGTGCTGAACCCTGGTAGTCTGTACTGAGGCTCATTCTCTCTTCTCCGGTTAAGTCAAGATACCCTGGCATACTTCCATTCTGTATCTAAATCTCTTATGAAGTTTTAGTACAGAGAAATAGACACTGGGGGGAGAAACAATTTCCAGGTACCTGCAAAGCAGAACAGAGCCATGTAAACTCCACACAGGAGAGGAAGTAAATAGCAACAAAAATTAGGCAAAATACTAAGGAAAACTTGTAACTTGAATGCAGTGTTGCACTGGTGCAGCCTTCCTTCAGAGGCTGCAAAATCACTTACAAATTCACAAAATCAATTATAAATTGCTTTTCACGAATAGGTTAAATAAACATTTTTCAAAAGAAATTCAGTCCTGGGGCAAGAGGAGGGACTGCACAACCTCAAGCCATTGTTCAAAGTAATCTTTTTTGACTATTATCTAAAAATCTCTGCAGAGCTGTAGGCTGCTAACAGCAGCTATATTTCACTGGCAATGCCTGATTTTCAGTTGTTCATGAACTTGCTGCTGCTTAAATGTATGTTGTTAAAACCTCCAAGCCTTTCCAGGAAACCAAGGAGTGTACTGCAGTGGTGATTATCCTCTGTCTCACAGTATTGTACACTTCTCCTTCTGACTTTTCCTTTTCCCTCCCCTGTAATTCTGCCCAGGGTCATGCTGTGCCTTGCACCTTGCACAGCAGCTGGGAAGCAAAAGGTTTTAAAGAACATTGTCTCCAAAGTGGTGTATACCTGGGTTTCTGAGAATCGAGGTCTCTCCCTCTGAACACTATCAATGTTTCCAGCGCAACATGATGGCCAATGTCACAGTCAGATTGAAAAACAGGGTCTTCATGATAGAGGAAAATGTTCCCTTACCTTCTACGGGACAAAAGCAAAGATTTTCAGGCACTTACAAGGAGGAGGAAAATGAGAAAGAGCATAATGAGAATTATTACTGAAATTGGTCCTTCTCCTTCAGAAATGACCTGCTTAACAACTTTTGTGCAAGACCCAGACTCCATAGTCAGACGTGCCTGAGGATAAAAAGATACTTCTCAAAGAGTGCTATCGGAGCTTTGTAGTACCAGGTCAAGATATTGCTCATTCTGTGCTATTTCTATCTGAAATACATATATGTATCTTATCGGTGACTATATTTAAAGGAAAGAAAGATTGTTCTGTACCTGAAGCATCAGGATGATAGAGGCTGGGAGCACTTGCTATTTCTCCTTGCTGATGAAGACAGGCGCCTGAGGATCTTTGACTTGCAATGAGAATCCTGCTTTTGGCAGACGGTAACCTGGAGACTGCACCCAGTCCTAACTGTGGCTTAAGGATCATGGCAGACCGATAAAAACTTGGTGGGACCTCGTAGTGAGTATAAGGTGGAGGACAAAATTCGTCTTTTGCAGGCCTTTCCCCAACCTAAGGAAAAATCATGAACACAGATATTATGCAATATATCAATATGTAGACAGCATATGGATCTCTAAATTGCTCACAAAAGCTATTTTTCCCTTCTTGTCAATCTGGGCGTCAGACCCCTGTAGACTGCTGGTCAATTTTAATAGGAATGGCCTAACAATATGAACCCCTCTCCACAAATGGAATCATAGTGCAATAGAATGTCATAGAATCATTTGTGTAGGAGGGACCCTTAAAGGTTTCCCTGCAGTGAACAGGGACACTTACAGCTAGATCAAGTGCTCACAGCTCCATCCAGCCCAACCCTGAATATCTTCAGGGATGGGGCATCCGCCCTCTCTCTGGGCAACCCAGTGCTTCACTACAACTGGTTGTAACATGTTCCAACAACTAAATCCAATCAAACCCAAATAAAGAATTGATAGCTACCCAAAAAGCAAATAGACAAACAAAAAAAAAATTCAGTTAGAGAACATGAAGCTGTTCTCAAGTCCTGACAGGTGATGTTATTTAAATAGGTGGATACACAAAGAGTGTGCAAGTGGAATTATTACTAGAAGTTATTTAAAATATGCTTACTGAGATAAATGTACTTTTAAAGGGAGTCTGTGTTAACTTAAGTAGTTACAGATAAAGCTGAAGCTATTTTAAGTTCTTTTAATGGGAAAAATGGGGTTATCAAATTGTTTGCCCATGAGGAAATCTCTACATACTCTTACATCCTTACTGCAAAATATGCAGCATAATCTGTGCCTCTGAGTTCCTGAAGAGACCCACATAGAGAGGTGTACATGTTTCTGTGCTCTGTATTTTCAGAGGGCTGGCAGAATATTCCAAACGAGAGCTATAAAGCACAGCTGCCTATTTGGCAGCACTGAATGCCCATCCTGGGCTGCATTAAGAAGGGGTGCCAGCAGAGAGAGAGGTGAGGGAGGGAGCGCTCTTGTGAGGCCCCATCTGCAGTGCTGCGTCCAGGCCTGGGGCTCCCACTGCAGGAAGGATGTGGAGCTCTTGGGGCGGGTCCAGAGGAGGGCACTGAGATGATCAGAGGGCTGGCGCACCTCTCCTGTGAGGAAAGGTTGAGGGAACTGGGCTTGTTTAGCTTGGAGAAGAGAAGGCTCCGGGGAGACCTCATTGTGGCCTTCCAGTACTTGAAGGGAGTGCACATGAGGGGGGGAAACAGCTGTTTACAAGGTTGGATAGTGATAGGACAAGGGGGAATGGTTTTAAACTGAGACAGGGGAGGCTTAGGTTACATATCAGGAGGAAGTTTTTCACTCAGAGGGCTGTGACAGACTGGAACAGGTTGCCCAAGGAGGCTGTGGATGCCCCATCCCTGGAGACATTCAAGGCCAGGCTGGCTGTCAGCAGACAACATGTGGTTGACTGAAGACCTGGTTCCTTGGTTGAGCCCTCGCATCCACGGCCAGACCCTCACCTCTGTGCTCTGCTTTCCCAGACTCAAGACTAAAGCATAAAACAATGCCAGAAGCTCTCAGGGCTTTCATCTCTCTTGTTTGCAAAGAACTGTTTGCTCTTCTGAGTAAAGATCAACTTCTCTAGCATTTCCTTATAAAATGCAAAATCATCGTAATCTAGAAAGAACCCATAAATATTTCTTCAGCATACTTTATTAAGGCCAGAGGAAAAAAAATGGCTTAGGAAATAGGAATTCTGAACTAAATTTGCTTAAAAATTAATTTTTAAACAAGTGCCATAGGCTAGGCCTAGGAAGAAAAGTAACTGGCAATTAATTAACTCTGCTGCAAGTTACGATGCATATAATATGCCAAATCAATTTCTATTTAGCAATTATAAGCATTTAGAATATGCACTTTAACATTGGCTATAAAAGCTTTGATCTGAGCTGTTTCAAGAGCTTTAATCCTAATTTGGCAAATCTTTAATTTGCTAAAAGAGACAAGATGGGCCTTCAACCATTAAGTATGGAATCTTTGAGGTCTCTGCGCAGGAACTAGGTGGACAGAGGCAACAAACACTGACTGTTACATTTTTGCTCTGTATTTTTTTCTTTGTTTGTAGTATTATTTCCTGCCATGAGATATTTCAGTTTCCCTTTTCCCCTGACCTACATGTACAAGTTGGGATGCAGGTTTTCACCGTACCAATGATTCTCCGTGCCTGGACTTAGATGCTTATTTTCAGCATACAAGCCTGTTTTTTTTTCTGGGTTAAGACTCCATTATTTTTTTCTCCTCAATCACAGAAACACAGAATGGCTTTGGATGGAAGGGACCTCAAGGATCATCGAGCTCTAACCTCCCCGCCACAGGCAGGGCCACCAACTTCCACATTTAATATTAGACCAGGCTGCCCAGGGCCCATCCAACCCGGCCTTGAACACCTCCAGGGACGGGGCATCCACAACCTCTCAATTCTCTGACTAATTTATTTCAATCAGATTTCACTATACTCTTCTTATCCTCTCATACTGACTGCCAATAAATAAACCGAGTGTATTTATGCCAAATATTTCATTATGAGGAACTGGGAAAATCCTTAAATATAGAATGCTGACAAACTGGGTCAGCTTAATGAAACCTCCAGCTCATCTTTATTGACAGCATGCTACAGGTAACACAGATATATGCACACACAACAATTGCAAGGATAAAACATTTTCTCAAGCTGAGAGAAGTAAGAAGGATTTACCCCACTATCTCTCAGGAAATAGATTTGTTTCTGAGCTCATAGAAAGACATAAACTTGTTAATAAGACACATTCCTTTTTCTTTTGTATTAAACAGAGAATTCCTCAAGTGCAGAATTTAACTGCTCCCCACAGAATCATAAGAAACTATTGATTATAAAGCCCTTACAGAGCTGCTAAAACAGATTTGGATTAGTTCAACCCATCCACTAACAGGACGCTCAGCTCAGAACTGTACTGTACATTCTGCACTCCTCCCATTTAATGAACTTGTGAAAAAGAGCTGGAAAGTCTGCAAGCAAACACATGAACCATTTGGGATTTTCTGCAGCCTGGGTAACTCTGAGCAGAGCTGGCAACCCTGCCGGCAGTGAGGTTGCTCAATACCTTCCTTCACGTTGCTTTGTTTATAATGCTGTCAAACATTAAAGCCTCAGAGACAGCCCTGGAGCCTTCCTCAGACAGGTAGTGCCCAAGACAGCACCTCCCTGTCACTTCCACTCATGGCCCCCAAGGGGGCATTTAATTGTGCCTACTGCTTACCTAGCTGAAGGCTGCTTAGCGATGACAGGTCTGATTGATAGCAGCTTTTAACACCCCCATCACAGCTATGTAAAGAGCTATAAAATGCTGATCAAAGCCCAAATTGGATATGTGAAATAGGGCAGTCTGGGAATGTTTCCCTCACAAAGTTAATGTGGAGTGGTCATCTTGCTCCAGCATATCCTTGTCTACAAAAGCTCTGAGTCTTCAGCGTGTCAATTTTCCAGGGTGATTCTGATCTCCCTGAACCCATTCTAATTGCTTTCCTTTTACTTGAAAGACCCACTCAGTCATATTTATTGGGGGATAAGATGCTTTGGGCTCTCTCCAGAAAATAAATGTCATCCTGCTAACTCTATTCTAGAGTAAACCACACTGCATACCTGCCACAACCTGAGTCCTTTTCGTGCTAAGAACAGTCCTCCACAATTACCAAAAATTGGTCCTTTGTTTCCAGCTATGTTAGCTAATGTTGCCATAATGATTTTCCAAATACCAACTGTATGGACTATAGAAACCTATGGTCTAGAGAATCACAGAATCACAGAATGGCCTGGGTTGAAAAGGACCACAATGATCATCTAGTTTCAACCCCCTGCTATGTGCAGGGTCACAACCAGCAGACCAGGCTGCCCAGAGCCACATCCAGCCTGGCCATGAATGCCTCCAGGGATGGGGCATCCACAGCCTCCTTGGGCAGCCTGTTACACTGCGTCACCACCCTCCAGGTGAAAAGCTCCCTCCTAATATCTAACTTATATCTCCTCTGAGCTTAAAACCATTCCCCCTTGTCCTATCACTATCAACCCATGCAAACAGCTATTCCCCCTCCTGTTTATATGCTCCCTTCAAGTACTGGAAGGCCACAATGAGGTTAAATGCTAATGATCCAGCAATTTTCTCTCACTTGACAGGGAGATTGTGAAGATACCCTAGTAGTGGCTGGCAAAGACAAGCTAACAATGACTTCAGTAGTCTGTCCTATGAGTGCAAAATGTAAGGCATGGACTATGGAACTGAAAGGGAAAGGGCAGCAAGCACTTTGCTTGAGATGAGATAATACTCTTACAAAAACCTATACTCCAAGATCACTTCAACAGTTGTCTGTTAACATGGAAGAAGGGCCCATTGATACTCACACATGAGCTTTTAATGTGGGTATTTGCTGGCTTCTGATTGCCAACTCTGTCACCAAATGCATTATTTCAAGGCTGTTCCTTGGATAAATATTGCATATAGAAGGAGGTAGGTATATAATATGAGTAATTTTTTTTTATTTATTTTTTTTTTTTAACTTTAGGATTGGTTCAAATTAAATACAGTTGTGGGATTTTTGGTATTTACTTAGAAAGCTTGTCTGTTGAGCTAACTAGCACAGGTCCAAAGCAGTAGACTCAAGCCCTAAACATAACCCCCTTCTCCCTGTCCTTTCATCATCTATTAAGCAACATCAACCATTGTGCTCACCTCCCAGCAGGGATGGGAGGGAGCCAGCACTTCTGCCTGGCTTACAGGGCTGTGGAAACACAACCAGATTTAAGGGCTCAGAAGTGGGCAGAGGGACTTCCATTACCTTTTGGCTGCTGAGGAAGAATTTCCAAGGAAAGGAGTTTTCTTTTTTTAAGATGTTAGGCAATAGAGCACACTGCTTAAGATGAGTCAAAAGGAAATCTTTTCCCACCTGAAGTATATATTCTAATGAAATCTGACAGTTCCTGTTTTTCTGTAATAGTTTAACAGAAGAGAATGCATATGGACTGCTAATGCTCCGAGTGCAAAAACCTGCCAAGATTCCCATTAAGGAGGAAAAGTCTCTGTGGGCAAATTACATTAATTTTCCAAAGATGTTCTTTGGAAAAAAACGGAAGTTCCATTTAAGGATAAATTCAAACAGCATGCCTTCTCCTATCTAAACAGCTCTACTTATACACTAGGAGGTGACTGGTATGCTGGAAAATGCTGGAGGAACACGGTGACAACTTCCAGTCACAGATCAGACACCACATCAAGGTCAGTGCCAGAAAATGTTACGTTTATTTCTAATCATCACATACTGCTTTGCTTCAGGATTTACTTCTTTAAGGTTTGAGAACTAACATCTGGCAGCAACAAGTAAGCAAACACTCACCACCTGACATACAAAAGTGTCAAAGCCACCTGCTTACCTCCTGCAGAAACTTCTCACCCATTGGACCAAAGTGATGTGCTGGGGGCCTAATTCCTGACACCACCAGTCCAGAACTGAAGAGCCTTGGCTTCTGGAGGTCAGGTTTAAATTTGTCGTACAGGATGCTGGGGGCCTTGCCCTCCCCTCCACTGGATGCCTTCTGCTCTGTGGAGATGGGCACAGGGCATGCTGCAGTACCATACGGCAGCCCTGCTGGTGCAAATGAAGGGTCAAGCTGCTCTATTGAACGAGGGTTTCTTCTGATGTATGTGATTATTTTAGGTCTCACAGGTTTGGGCTTGGGTATGGCCGGTTTCACCTCCATGCTCTCTTCCAGTTTCTCACTGCAGTCACTGTCCACATCCAGCTTATCTGCAAGAGAGCCCTTGGAGTGGACCAGGATAGGTTTGGGGATTGCACTGCTGCTGGCAGTCTTTATAGGCACTTTGGGGGATATGTTCATCAACTCCGTACTGTCAACAGGAGGTAGGATTGAGGAGGGTGACAGCTTGTCAGTGGGAAGTGCATAAAGGTCCTTCAAATTACTGTTTGATAGCGTGGGCTGACTATTAACATCCAGCACTGCCACCGGGCGCAAAGGAGTTGGAACACATAAAAAGGTGTCAGCCTTTGCTGAAACCTTAGAGCTCTCCAGTGCTTCTTCTGGAGGATGTTTCTGTGCAGGAGCTGCCTTTTTACCTGGAACTGAGAAGGTTTCCACATCGCTGACATGGTTGTCAGGCTGTTGGTTTGACACTGTCTCTGCACTGCACACTCTGTCTTGTTCAGAGAGATCAGAAGCAGACACGGCAGCATCCTCAGTGCTTCTTTTGGCCAGCGTCAGTTTATTCTCATTGACCTGCAAGGGTTTGCTGTCAGGTAGATTCATGTTATGTATAAGAGACGCCTGTTCCCCAACTGTTCCAGCACAACCTGCATCAGCTTCATGTAAATTTTCATTTTTTCTAGGTGTCACTTTGCTACTGGAATTACCATTGCAGGTGACTGGGAATACTGTTTCCACTTCTCTGTCTTCCTCACTAACCTGGGTCACTGCCCCACTCTCACTGTCATGGCCTCCTCTTCCTTCCCCATGGATGGTGAAGTTATCACTTTGTAATCTGTCGTCAGAAGAGGTTACAGCCTGATTTGATGAGGGATCCTCTGCTTTATCACTGATGTCTTGAAAATGTGTTGTTGGAAATGTTGATGTGTCAGATCCAGACTCTTTCTGTTCTTTCACTGTTCTACTTCCATCTTTTTTACATCCCAGAAACTCTATCACCATAATTCTCTCAATTTTTTGTTGACATGTGTTTTTAGATTGTAGGGATGGCACAGCCTTAAGCTCCAGTTTCTTACTTTTATCACCCTGACTTAATTGTGCTTCTGATTTACTAGCAATCTCACTGGGCTTAACAGCTGAATGATGATTGGTATGAGAAGTATGCAGTGTGCTTTCAGTGTTAACATTTGGTACATTTTCTGGTTTGCTTATTTTCTTGTTCCCTGAGGTAGATGGTTTAGAATAAAAGACAGTATTTTCCTCTGAGGTATTGTCGAGTGGATGAAACACCATCCCGAGAAAATGATCTGTGGAAGTTTTTTGTGATTTCTCTGTATTTCCAATCAAATGGTGTGACCGGTCAATGGAATCCAATGATGCGGAAAGCAGACGTTTACAAGACACGCGGCCAACACATTCTTTCGTAAGCGTTTCAGATTGAGGAGAAAATTTACTGGGTCTGCCCAAAGACAGTCTTTTTATTCTTTCCATCTCCACAGTCTTGGACATTTTACCCCTAGGAAAATTCTGGGTGAAGTCAACATCACCTTTCGAAATTATCTCCAGGTTAGCATCGTTTGTGCTGCTTTTTAAATTGGACAGACTTTGTCCTCGGCTAATCCTGATATGCCTTGCCATATCCTTAGCTTCGCTGGTCCTGCTGTCCTTCCCTATTTCCCTGCTTGTGGTTGAGGGCAGCTTACTTTCCTGTACACTGGTGTTACAGGTCCGAGAGTCTTTGAACACCAGTTTATTCTGTTCTGTATCCAGACGAGTAACTCTCTCTGATCCTCCGGAGTGTACATTTCCACCCTCATCCATCAAACCCTGTTTCTTGATATCTCCTTCCGTGGTTCTAACTTTTGCCATGATTTGGTTGGCATTGCTATCCCCCACGCTCACTGTGCTTTCATTATTATTTTTTATTTCACTGCGGTTGTCCTGAAGCTGGGAGTAACATGACTTGTTTGGGATTAATGGAGCACTCATTCTGAAGCTTCCAGTGACTGCCTTTTCGGCAGCTGTAGGTAACGAGAAAGCCTTTTTCCCCTATCAGATTAACTACTGTACATGCTTCAGTTATAGGTTGAAATTACAAACTGATCAGTAAGAAATTCCTCAGCGGAGAGCTCGGAGTCTCTTGTCAAAGTCACATTTTTGTGCTGCTCAGTTGCCTTCAGTGCAACTTCTGGATCCAGGAAATCCTTATGACGTGCAGTAGAGAGGTTCAACGAAAGCAAAATAGATCTGTCAAGTTTCCTCTGAATGACAGCCAGTTAATCCAGCCAACCTATGAGAAGACAAAAAAAACAGACAACATCACATCAATGTCATGAATTATACTAACTAAAAATAAAGTTAAAATCTGCAAACTTCCAGAATGGAGTGCTTTCAAACAGTTCAGATTCTCTTTCAGCCACAGCTTTGCCCCCAGCAAAGTTTCCTAATGTAGCCCAGATCTCTGACTTGAGAAGAAATGATTAAAACTGTCCTGGTTAGAAGAGCAGTTAGTACTGCTTTTAAGACACAGACTTAAAACTGTTGATAGCCATAAACAGCTAAGTGAAGACAGAATCCCACATCAAGGCTCTGAGCAATTTCATACTGCAATAACAATTCACTTATTGCACCGAGATTTGCTACTGAAGCATTTAAAGCACTCCTGTAGAGATAAGAAGTAAGTATTAAAATTCCAGATCTATTAGGGGATATTTGTGGGTTTCTTCCTTTGCCCTGCACAAATCACCGCTCTGCTTGTGCTCCATCTCATGCTGAGCTGCTGTCACCTGCACCTCCATGTCCCTTCTGCTGAGCTGGTCTCCAGCCAGGGATTCAACTGGCATCTCCCAGTTTAGTGCCACCAGCAAACTTGCTAAGGATACATCCAGATCACATGAAGATGTTGAGCAGAACTGGCCCTGGAACTGAGTCTAGGAAACATCTCCAGTGGCAGCTTCCAGCCAAATGCGGCCCCATTCATTGCAGCCCTTTGAGCTGCAGCCAGTTCATCTCTCAGCATGACACAAACCTGTTCATCTCACAGCTGGCCAGTCTGTCCAGAAGGATGCTGTGAGAAAGAGTATTAAAGCCTTACTAAAACCCAGAAAGATTACATCCATGAAGTAATCAGATCCCCTCCATCCCCTAAGCAGCAATGTTACAGCACGTAGGATATCAAATTACCACATACCAGGCACAGTCAGCGTGGGCTCAAAGGGAAAGTCCTGCCTTAGTAATGTCACAGGCCTATAGTTTTCTGGGTCTTCTCTCATGCCCTTCTTGAAGATGGGTATGATGGCAGCTAGCAGCCAGATGGTGGGGACCTCCCGAGACTCCTAAGATCTTTGGTACTTTGTTGTGAGGAGTCCAGCTGTAACATCTGCTTACTCCTTCAGTATTCTAGGGTGAATCCATCAGGCCCCATGGACTTGTGAATGATAAGCTGATACTCACAACTTTGGTGAATGGAAAGTCTTTATTCCCACAGTCATGATTCTTCAACTCAATGACTGGGTAGCATTAATATTACAAACTAAGGCAAAAAAAGCATTAAATGCTTCTGTCTTTTCCTCATCCCCACTCATTAGGTGACTGTCTTCATCTTCTGTCCATGCTGTGCCTCAGATATCTCAGATCTGAAATACTCTCAGGTATTTCTTGAGTAGTTCAGTACTCTTTACAACTAAAATATGGACAATGGAAATCAGAATGTGTCCACAGTACACAGAATTCAAAGCACCTGCAACACTCCCAGCAGTGCTGAGTTTCTAATCAAGCACTCACAGGGACTCTAATTAGAAGTACTGATTAAGTGCCCTGCTCTGTGTACAGAGTCTAGGTGCAAGGCTGAGCTCATGTTTCTGACACCTGCTATGAGTGGGTCCTGCCAACCTTGCAGTCATTCAGCTCTCTCACAATAACTGCCTTTGAGCTCAGACCTGCTTTCTCTCCATGAGGCACACACACATTTTGCATGAGTCTTGATTCTGGGCTCCTGGCATAGCTCCATCTCTTTGGCAAACAACAGCTAATTAAATGAATACATGAAACAGAACACAGTAGTAAGGATTTCGCTTCAGCACCATGGAATTGTATTACAGATCTCATCCTCAAAACATTTTAAAGTAGGACTTTTAAGCTACATCTTCACTCTGTCCTTTTTTCCACATTAAAAACAAATTTTAAAAAGTATTTATTAAATTAAATATATGCATTGGTTTTGGGGGTCCTGGAGGGATTTTGTGTGTGTGTGTGTGTGTGTGTGTGTGTGCGTGTGCTTCTCTTTTTCTTTTTCCCAAAATGAAAACAACAGAATTTCCATATTCAGTGTGAAAGCTGAACTGTAGCTGCTCTTCACTGGTCAGAGCATATCTATTTTAGTCTTTCTGGTTAGGTAGGAAGGGGCACTGATAGGCTTGAAAGGAAGCTAAGGGCAGTCAGCTCATGTTTCCCCTCTCCTTTAGGGGACATTTAGATTGAATATAAGAAAAAAACAATTTACAATAAGGGCGATGAGGCACTGGCACAGGTTGCCTGGAGAGGTGGTCCCTGGAAACACTCAAGGTGAGGCTGGATGGGGCTCTGAGCAACTGATGGAGCTGTAGGTGTTCCCAGTCATTGCAGAGGAGTTGTGCCAGATGACCTTCAAAGGTTCTCAGGTCTCTCCTGAGCCTTCTCTTCTCCACACTGAACAATCCCAGTTCCCTCAGCCACTCCTCATCAGACTTGTGCTCCAGACCCCTCACAGCTTTGCTGCCCTTCTGGACACGCTCCAGGGCCTCAATGTCTTTCTTGTAGTGAAGAGCTCAAAACTGAACACAGCACTCGGTACTTGATCTTGCTGAACCTCAACCCATTGGCCTCATCCCAGCATTCCAGCCTGTCCAGATCCCTCTGTAGGTCCTTCCTACCCCCAAGCAGATCGGCACCTCCTGCCAACGTGGTGTCATCTGCAGATGTACTGAGGGTGCACTCAATGCCCTCATCCAGGTCATCAGCAAAGACACTGAAGAGGACAGGCCCCAGAACCAACCCCTGGGGAGCACCACTGGATTTAACTCCATTCACCACCACCCTCTGGGCCTGGCCCTCCAGCCAGTTTTTTACTGAGCAGTGTACCTGCCCAAGCCATTGGCTGCCAGCATCTCCAGGAGAATAGTGTGGGAGACAGCGTAGAATGCTTTGCTGACGTCTATCTAGACCAAGTCAAGAGGTATACAAGATTTTATTTCCCTGTGCTAGTTTCTGCAGTTTCTGCCATACATTCTGCTCCATCTCAAGCCACATTTAGCCCACAGGTCCCACCCCACCCTCTGGAGACACCAAGGAGAAGAGGAAGCTAAGCTGGTTGGTGTCTGCCCCCTGACATGAACTGGAGCAGTAGAGCTCAGGATGGTAAAACAGCTGGCAGGAAAGCGAAAGCAACAACCTACTTCCTAATAGTAACAGTAGATATTCTGTTTTGTTTTGTTAAAACGAGGAATGTAAGAATAATGCTGAAGATGTTATCCTCAGTAGGCACTGAATAAAAAAAAATAATGGTACAGCATTATTGTTTTTGATTTGCCACAGAAACAGAGCAGTAATAATTATGAGTATAATTATGAGATAAGCAAAAGAATTATCAGAGCATGCAAAAAAGTAGAACTGGAGTGAAATAAATAAAATGCAAAACGTATTGAGAAGTATGGCTCTTGTAGAAACACTTCCTGGTGCTGACCGTCACAGCTGCTTACACATTCGGGTACTGAAAATTAAACCAGAATACTTACAGCAAGATATGTGGAAAACACGTAGTTGTACAACTAACGTTGTGAACAGCTTAGGCTGATTGCTCTGTCTGATTTCTAGAACTAAGAAGTGTAGGAGAAGCACCTGAATTCCTTATTAACCATTTCCACTGAACCTGCGCCTCTGTATTCTCACTTGCGCCTACATGAAAAAATAACACAGTTGTTTTGTACCAGGTAGGGGGAGGCCAGCAGCCATCCATCAGCCACCTGATCCTGCAGGGGAAATCCTCTCCAGCCATTGAGGAAGAAGACTGATGGAATACATTTGTATAAGGTGTGAAAGAGATGCAGTTACTACAGAAAAGTGGATGAACAACAATCTCCTGAAATGTAGAACTGTCTCCTGAGACATCTGCTGTGAACACCGATAGCATTCTATGTGGAGATTCTCCAGAAGAAGAGATACCAACTCATCTCAAGCCAGGGCTGCAAGAACTGAGCCCCACAGAAGGGGCAAACAGCATCAGAGAATCAGGGAATCATTAAAGTTGGAAAAGACCACTAAGATCACTAAGATCACCCCATTCCCACCATGCCCCTAACCACATCCCTCCCTGCCACATCTCCACGGTTCTCAATCTCTTCCAGGGATGGTGACTCCACTACCTCCCCGTGCAGCTGGTTCCTGTGCCTCACCACTCTTTCTGACATGAAATTCTTCATAATATCCAACCTGAAATACAGTGCTGGAAGGGAAGGAAGTGTGGATGTTTTCCAGAGAAGTCCAAATCATCATGAACAACCTCCTCCAATGGCTAAAGAAGTTGAAATCTGATACAAGGACACTAAAATAAATAAATAAATAAATAAATAAGCCAACGAACTCCTTGGAGTGGGTAACATACAACTGGAATTAATTAAAAGTGGTGAAGAAGCATTCACCTGAGCACGTGGTAATTTTGTTAATGAGATTTGAAAGGCTGAGAACTCACATTTGGATACCCTCCCCAATGGTTCCTACTCACAGAATCATAGGATCATTAAGATTGGCAAAGACCTCTAAGAACATCTAGTCCAACTGCTGATGGAAAGGTTGGTGCGTATTGTGAAGAAGACTGTTCAGTAGACAGCGTTCTGCTAGAAGAGCAGTTCAGACTGAGGCAGAGAAGAGAAACAGTGAATCAAATGCTAGGCTTTTACACACTGGAAAATGATGGGAAGGTAATTCTTATTTGCTTGTAAAACTGAAGTGATCTGTAAAGATGAGTGGCTTCTGTAGAGTATGGCTCTGCTACAATTCAGAATTTCAAAGTTCTAGTGATTTTAATGCCTCTACAGCCAATAGATTTTAGTCTTTTCATTATTTACAAAATGGCCTATGTTCTATCTGTATAAATGTAGATATAAAAACTGGATATAAAATAACTAATGGAAAGGAATAACAGGTTTCACATGCAAAAGCAAAGCTTTTTGGTTACGTTTCACTTTTGGCTAAAATACAGGTTTATGTATTTCACAGTTTA